ATATATATATATATATATATATATATATATATATATATATATATATATATATATATATATATATATATATATATATATATATATAACATGCAGACACTTGAACAATTTGAACAATCCCTCGTGTTCAAATAGCGTTCAATAATCTGGAGTAACTATTTATACGAATTAACTCTTCATTTTATTTTGAAGATTACAAAAACTTTTATAAAAAATATGAGGTATGCCACTTTATCTAAAAGATTACTTGACCATCTGAACCCTCTAAATCCCTCACTATTTTATTATTTTGATTTTACACCAAACTTATTACCACCTCATATTCAAATCGAGATATGACCCATTCTAATTCTTAGACAATCAAAATGTATATTAACAATGACAAAATTAAATAATAGTTAAATCAATTCAATTGTCACGTCACCAAAATTAAAAGGATCTTATATTCTTTGATGTATGACCATCTAAGAGTGAAGTATTATTCTAATACCAATTAAATACTAAAATAAATTCACCTGAGGATTGCTATCTTAACAATCAAAACTCTACGATTTATTGCTCTAATATAAAGTAAAGCTGGTTTTACATACTTGAAGAACTTGTTAAATTGGCATGTCCCACACATTTAATTTCACAATAATTAGCACAACTATCATCATGACTTGGTCAATAATTACAAATATCCAAACCTAGACAAAGGACATCTTTAACATCTTCACCATTTTATTCATATCTTTCCAAGAGCAGCCACAGTTAAAGTTCAAATCATGTTGCATGGCCCTCTCTCTCTATCTTTCCTTCATTTGAATTATTATTATTTTATTATATGTCACTCATAGCTTTCCGAGCCAATTCGAATTGAAAAGATCCGCGATCCCCTCACCGCCCCCTCCGTACGACGCTCGTTGCTGCACGCCCCAATCCGGCGGTGATCCGTTGCTCGTGCTCACCGGGGTTCGATTTTGAAAAGACCTTTGCTCCACCCGCATTCCCGTCACCGGATGGGTCCACCTGCCTCGTGATTGGAAGAAGACGGGGTTTAACGGGTGGGCCCCACTTGGTGTGCGGATGGTGATGGACGCGTCTCGGCGTCGATGGCACGTGGTGGAGCGCAGCACGCGCTCCGAGATGCGCGACGATCACCTGATGGAGGGTCCAGATCCTTCGGGATTCAAACCGACTTCTTCCCTCCAAGAAATTATTTTTAATTATTTGAAGATGAGGGTGTCCAGAAACCCGTCTCGTTCCTCTTCTCCTTTATTTCCCTTCTAATCCGCTCCTCCTGTCCGAACAGGCAGAGCGAGAGTGAGCGAGAGAGAGAGTGAGATTTCGTGTTCTGATCTCTTCTTGGTTTGGATTGCTCTTCGCTTTTCTTGCATGCTCTCGTAGCGAGAGAGGGCGAATTCGAGCGAGGCGAGGTGACGGAGAGGCGGTTTCTCGGTTCGGGGTTGTGGGGTTAGGGTTCTTGAGGGCGTTGGCAGATGAATCGCCGGTCGTCGATCACCTCTTCGACCTCCGCGGCGGCGTCCGCTTCGGCGAAGAGGCCGGCTGCGATGGAGAATGCTGCCAAATTGGCGACAGCTATGGGGGAGCAGGCCAAGAAGAGGGTCGCTCTTGGGAACATCAGCAACCAGAGCAATGTGGCACGTAACCCTGCGAGGCCGCTCGGGGCTAAGAGTGCCAATGTGGGTATACTTGGTGTAGTTTCTTTAGCGTTCTTTTCTTTCTATGTTCTTGTACAAAAAGATATGCTTTTGGTCCACATTGGTTATCGATGGTCATGTTGTCTATTACTCTATAGAGCTTCGATCTGTCCCTTGAATAATGAATTGGTTTCCAGATTGTTTGAGGTTGAATGCTTAGAGTACTGACTTTCTTCTTGTCAATTCTGTTTCAAATTAAGGGTTCCCTAAATTTTCTAACGAATTTTTGTGATCAAACTCCTTTCTGGTGATACTATAGCCGGGAAACCTGTAACTTTTTCACGGTCTGTTAGTGTTTTGTGATACTACAGCCGGAAATGTTACTCCATCTCACGTTTTGTTAGTGTTTAACATTTCGTATTTACCTAATTACAATACAATAATTCTTCTTTTTAGTGTAAATGTTATGGAGCTACTAAATCAGAACTGCAAAAAGTGGTAGTTTGTCCTTTTTCAAGTAAAATAATATGATCTGTGTTTTGACGAGTCTTCATGCTCTATATCCTTAGATGCATTACATGCATTACTTTGGTTTGTCTTGGATGCCTGATTGCCTTCTTTTCCCTCTTTATGGTCCATTATCTGCACGAGCAAATTGCTCTTGCTCAATATGACCCGAAAATCCTCAAGAAAAAAACCTATACATTTCGAGAAAGTACCATGGTCACTACTTGATTACGTGACAATTGGTCAGAAGAGCTAAACAAAGTTTGCCATGAGTCCTCATCGGTCATGCATGAGAATAACAGGTTAAGTTCATTTATGTTCTCTTCGCTAAAAGTCAACTTAAAGATTGAGTTGAAACCAAAACGTTGGTTTTTATTGTGATAAAACCATCATTTGAGTAGTGCACTAGTTTTATTAATTTTTAATATGTTGTTGATATGCTCAGAAGGCCATTCTGAATGGTCAAATGGCACATGGTCTGTTTTGATTTCTCTAGTAGATAAGCTTTGTTTAGCAGTAGAAACTCCTCGTTAAATAGACCATCCACAAGGTTATTCCATTTTTCACTTTGTTTGTTGATCTTATGTGGCAAATTCTAATTTTCATCAAGTGTCGCACTCATTTCTGTATGCTAGGTTCAATTGCTTTGGGTCATGTCAGATGATGCATTCTTAATTTGTAATAATCAGATGAGATCTTGCAATATTTTATTCTCAAAAGTGAATATTTTATTGGACTCTCCCAAGGACACAGGTATCCATCGAAACCATGTTAACTCCTGTGTCTCATGTTCTACAATTTTCTTTCTAGGCTTTTCATTTTAGTATCTTTCTATTCCTTTGCAGTTAAAGATCTTTCGTGCTCTTCTTACTTTTTCTTCCATGTCTTGTTTTTGAACTATTAACTTCCCTATGTGTAGTTAGTCACCAATTACTTTCTTTAATTTCTTAATACATCGAGTATGATCGAAGGACTTCTCATTTTGTTTAGAATTTCACTTTATCCATGCATTTCTAGTAAATACCTACTTAGCCTTTTTTCCCTGCAAATCTAGAAGGCCATTCCAACAAGTTCAGCGTCAACAGTGAAAAAGGGATCTCTGACTGGTGCTCGTGATACAAGATTGAGTCGAAGTTCTGCAGTTACTTCAGCCACCATTAGACCAAATACAAACAAATCCAGCAAGAGAAGTTCGCTTCCTGTCAACAATGGACCTAAGCCTGCAGCTGCTGCCAGTCTCACATCCTGCATTATAGTTGAGTCCTCTAATTTCTCGGGAGATTCTGTTTCTTTGGATGAAACAATGTCAACATGTGACTTGATGAAAAGTCCCGACGTGGAGTATATAGACAACGGAGATTCTTCAGTCGTAGCTTCTCTGGAAAGACGAGCAACTGAAAACCTACACATATCTGAGCATGTAGCTGCAGCAGGTGTCTTCTGATTGATCTCATAATCCAGTCCTACTGTTACATGTTTTGACTTCTTGCATGATTTTAAAAGTAGGATTGCCCTACTTTTTATGTAAAATTTTTATAGTCAATGGAGTTTATTGCTTCTTAGTTTTATCACGTTAAATAGACTTTGATTCTTATTTGTCCCTGAATCTTGTATTAACTATATACATATCAGGTTCCACATCAAATATTGATGTTCCTACACCGATGGAAGTCGACAATGTCATTGATGTCGATACAAATCACAATGATCCACAATTTTGTACTACACTTGCTTGTGACATCTACAGACATTTGCGCATAGCTGAGGTGAAGTTCTTATTCTGTATCAGTTTTGCTTTTCTTTCTGCTGGCTTGTTTCATCTCATTTTCTATACATATTCTGATGATAACTTTACCATTCTAGTCAATGAAATGCTTAGTTTGCCTAATCTGATGATTAACAGATTCTCTTTATCTAGGCTCTAGACAGTTTGCTCTGTAGATCACTAGAATGCGTTGTTCTTTTATGATGTTTGATGTGCTATCCTATTATAGTTTGCGTGAACAATGTTTGATATTTCGTCAGCTCCAGTGTGCTGGCCAGCTATTGAATTGACATCTGCAATATGCTGAATCGTATAGTTTGGCAAGCCAATGACAGAAAAAAGAAGCAGAATGTGCAGGAAACATTAGAGACTAAAGAATTCTCTAGCCATAGAATTGAAAATAAGATATGGTCTATTGCCTGGGGAGCTACCGGAGCAATGCCCTTACATTTAAAGCACTAAAGTTCTTTAATCTTGATGTCAAGTAGACATAAGATGCATGAAATTTGAATGAACAGTGCCTTTCTTATACTGATATTACGGTGCATCTGCTTACCTGACAGACTAAGAAAATACCTTCTACGAATTTCATGGAAACAATTCAGAAGGACATAAATGCAAGCATGCGTTCAATTCTAATAGATTGGCTTGTAGAGGTATATCCGTAACAAGTGACTTCTATTGAATGTCATTTCTTTCAACTTAAATGCACTAATTTTCTCTTAACTTCAGGTTGCAGAAGAATATCGCCTGGTACCTGATACATTATATTTGACTGTTAATTACATCGATCGATATCTCTCTGGAAATGAGATAAACCGCCAGCGATTACAACTTCTTGGTGTTGCTTGTATGCTTATTGCTGCGTAAGAACTAACCATAGATGGTGTAATGATTTTTAAGGTCACTTCTTTGTTGATAATAATTTTACTTGGTGATAATATCTACAGAAAATACGAAGAAATATGTGCTCCACAAGTTGAAGAGTTCTGTTATATTACTGATAACACATACTTCAAGGATGAGGTAGATGTCCTTTCAACTTCGGATTAGATTTCTTGTATGCAACGCTTGTGCTGTCAATTCATATCTTAGCGCACAGGTTTTGGAAATGGAAGCCGACGTTTTGAAATACTTGAAATTTGAAATGACAGCTCCAACTTCTAAGTGTTTCTTGAGGTAAAATCTATGACCCTTGGTGTACCTTTCTATTTTCTCACGATTTTGTGGACATACTGCTTATCATAATCTTTGATGCGAAAACAAAAGGAGATTCATTCGTGCAGCACAAGGATCTGATGAGGTAAAACTCCCATCTTCTGTCCATCTCTTTTGTAGCTTATTTCTCGAGAAGTAATCACACTTTAAATCATATATTTCCTTTCCAGGTTCCAGCATTGCAACTTGAGTTTCTCGCCTGTTATATCGCAGAGCTGTCGCTTCTAGAGTACAATTTGCTCTGCTATGCTCCGTCGATCATAGCGGCCTCTGCTATCTTTTTGGCCAATTTCATAATGCAACCGACAAAGAGACCCTGGGTATGTATGTCTTTTGTGTTCCTTTCGATTTGCAAAGCGAATCTGTTGTTTCTGCTGAGGAACAACTTCTAGAGTGATCGGTCTTCACCATCTCCACCATATTGTTCATAGTCCAATGCTTTTGGAATTAATGCCTTGCCATTCTCTGACTGATGATGCAGAATGCTACACTTGGTCATTACACACTGTATAAACCATCTGATCTCTCCGACTGCGTGAAGGAGTTGCATCGCCTTTTCTGTACTAGCGCAGGCAATAACCTACCGGCAATCAGGGAAAAGTACAGCCAGCACAAGGTAAATTTTTTTATATGGCCTGCTCAAGCACTTAATCTTTTTCTTTTCGTTGACACTCGAGTTTGATTAGTTTTGTGTTTTCTCTTCCCAGTACAAATTTGTTGCCAAGAAGTACTGCCCTGCTTCCATACCTTTAGATTATTTCCAAGATGAGGTGCATTAGACTTGGTCATGGGAATCAGTTTTAGAATCTGCATCGTGAGTCAGCTCATCCATTGCATGATGAGACTCCTTGAACTGATGGAAGCCACTGACAGTTCCGACGACTCACCAATGCACATACATCGCTCAGCTAGCTACTAATGGAGAGGCGCTCTGATGAGTTGTTCATTGTGCTGATCTCGCTTTTTTCTTTGTACCCTTATGAAGAATTTGTGAAAATTATGGTCGATAATTTCACTTCCTGTGTGTATCGGCGTTCGCCTTGCCGTTTCCGAAAGCCACCGCTCACCCTGTATGCAATCTTACGGTCAACTCGGTTGACATGTCGAAAGCTTTGACTTTGGTTGTGGTGTTCAGATAGATGGAGAAGCTGCGTCCCAAGGATCGTTGATCGTTTCCACTATGTACTTGCATAATGATCACCCTTGCGTTAGTCATATCTGTGAGCTCGCTTTGTATGTTAATTTTCCGCTATTGATATGATCCGCAAGAGCTCTCCAAAACATGTGTGCCTCAGAAAGTTACACATTTTCTGAAAGTAATCTTGCAGGTATTGATAATAGCATCATAAGCAGACGCCAATAGCTTGTAGAACCAGGGGGGCATCAAACAAATATTGCTGCTTTGGTTGACATGTAATGTTTGCAATCGACATGTAGTTCTTTTCTTATTTCTATTATTGACAATATATTTCTGAAAATTTTTGAATATATGGCATCAAACAAACAGCACCATACGACACCATCCTGAGCATATTTTGGATATTAGCCACGTTAAGAACCACGCCATATCACGCCCTTGTCGAGTCAGCACGAGGATTGACTCCTCACGTCGAACCGAAGCTCGCTCGGGAAGGCACCCCCTTAGTAAGTCTCATCTCGGAAAGCTCAGGATGGCGTCGTATGGTGTCGTTCCACGATCATCGGGCGACGCTTGTATAAAGATACCATCTGGTCACTTGGGGGTCGATCGTCGCGCCAAATTCGCGTATGATTGATCCTCAGGCAGTATTATAAAAACCCCTAGCCAGGGGTAAGAACAAAAAAAGAAAAAAAGATCATTGACTTAATATACGAGGGACCCAACTCGGAAACACTCCGATCAGGGTCTGTGTGCAGGAGTTCGGCCATCCCGGAGGCGCGACCAACTCGACCAAGCTATGCTAACTCCTCTGTCACGACACGAAAATTCTCTAACATGTTGGTATATATATACATGCTATATATTTCTGCTTGGTTTTATACTGGTCGTATTGATTTAATGATTAGTCTTGGATTCGAATTTCGTCTTTGCCACATCTTTTACACACAAAAAAAAAAACATGTATTTTAAGCTCAATTTTGTATTTGGGTTGCCGATCTTTGTGCGTTCCAATTTCCATTTTACTCTCTGATATGGGTTTCAAAATTACCAAGTTTGATTGCAATGTTGAGATAGAGTTAATATTTTGGTAGTCTAATATAGACTTTGGTTCAGTGGTAGTTATTAGAGCATTCTTAATATTTCTACGTAGGAATTATTTTTCTTAATAAAATCAACAAGTTGTGAGGGCTCCTTCATCTGGAAATTAGTTATGAAGGATCTCTCCAAAATCATCTATGTAATTCTTACTTTTTTTTCTTATCTGTCGACTTAACTTGATCAAATTAGCTGTAATAATAACTATGTTTTATTAACAAAAATTCAATTAAGATTATGAAAAATCGGGTGCACAATTTTGAAGGCATACTTTGTAATCCTCGTATCAATTATGAGGGACTGCATCCTCAACCCAAAGGTGTATGACCGCAAGATAGTCCATATGCAGGATATAATCCAAATATGGTATCCATGATACGTTAGATATAGTAATCTTAGTTTTGCAGAGGGAATGAATGATAATTTCATGCTAGAATATTCCACCTAATTATTATTTTCTTATCTTCGTCATCTCCATAAATTCAGGAGAGAAGACAGAAGAATACAAGCAAGGCATGACATGACATGTTTCAGAACCCGAGTTCCGAGTCAAAAGTCTTCGGCCATGGCCATCCCCACCTTACTCTACTCCTGCAAGATGTGTTCTTCCTCCTTACCGCACTCCTGCGAGAGGCTTGCTCCCTCTCAGAACTTAGAGATGAGGTCCAGAGTCCGATCCCGCCGAGCTACACTACGTACGTAGCATCGACGCCATAAAAGGTTCGTCCTTTGAGAGTTTTCATGAATGCATTATATGTTCGCTTCTCTTCTTTCTGTAGCCACAAATTAACATCATCATCAAATATTGAGGTCGAGAGGAACCTGTCATCCATACTACAATCTTTTTTGTTCACCTGAGATGTGTCTTTTAAGTCGATCTAATGAAGTCCTTCCGAAGAATCTTACATTTCTTCTATTTCTAATTTGGTTTCATAGACTACAGAAAAATAATGCCCTCCACTTCGCAGATGTTCTTCGAGTTCTTCAACACGTTATTCTGCAAATTCATGATAAAAAAAGCAAACCTACAATGCATTTAAAATCTTCGTTAATCCTTTTTATGATATCGAATTCTGAACAATCTACTGATGAAAAAGATTGAAAACAACATTTATATGATGCTGTTTGTGTGCAGACACAGCTGCTTCCTTGTATGACGGCACAGAGGAGACCGGATCACTGCCATTTAACGTTGGTTCGGCTCTGGTGGATGAACACAGCGGCACATCAGTAACTGCAGTCATGAGGAATGTTCAAGGAAGGTGCAGTCATTTGTAATGTGTATTGCAATGTTATCCGACATAAATTAATTATAATGTATTTTACGTATTATTGTACGCAATTTTGCTTGCGACAGATGTATTTGATTCTGAAATATGAAATATAGTGCAATGTATGCAGATTTCTTGCTACTGTGATTTCGATCGATAAAGTACATAAATTAAGATAAGATACTTAATAAATCTCTTACCATGAAAAAATAATAATAAAATAAAAAAAGAGCTTTAAATAGAAGGAAATGTTCATCTCAACTTGAGATAGTGTGGATGAAGACAACGATATATTAGTAACTGCAAGTTTGTAATGAGCGTTGCACTGTTATTTGATACTAATTTTGATGTATTTTCTACTACAACTTTGCATTTGATTCTCGAATATGATATATTTGTAAGTATAACACCGTGTGCAAATTATCTTTTTTTTTCCCTATATTGTTGTTGATATATTTTTGAATTTATTGTCGTCACAAATGATTCTCCTAATATGATAAATAAATTAATAATAATAATAATAATAAATATATTTGGATCAAATAAATATGCATGATAATTAGTTATTAATCAGTATATGATCCAGAATAACATAACGTAATTTGATGCACATATCATTGAAGTTTAAAATATTACATTTGTCACGATGAAAGGCACATGATATTTTCATCAAACACTTAAATCTCTAATAAGTTAAGCCGGATTACAATAATGATATAAATGATATCTCAACATCATGTGGTCGATAGCTTGATACCTTAGTTTTATGTTATCGATACCTTGACGTTATGTGACTAATATCTCGGTATCACATGGTTGATATGTTTTTTTTTTAGAAGTACATGGTTGATACCTTACTAATCACATGATCAATACCTCATCACATAGTTGAGTGGGTTAGGTGTTTTCAAGTTCGACTCACCACTTTCACAAATAAATTCAAAAGAGACATACTATCTATTTCATAATTGACATTTACGGTAAAGGTAAAGTGATATTTGAAGCGTTTTTAATGCGTTCAAGATACAAATCTTTTCCTATTGAAAAATATATAGTCGAATCCTCGTAAACTTATTCTTAGACATCAGAAAAAGTTATCGTCAAGAACACCCTATCATAGTTTTAGAAGTATTCAAATTGATTGGACTCAAAGATCAACCTCGGTTGATTCCGAATCATCCTCCAACTTGGCCAATCAAGAATTGGCTTAACAGATCTAAAAAAAAAAACATTCTGACATTTTAGTCCCATAAGAAATTAGATTTTATTATATCAGTCCACAATTTATCAGGATATAAAGTGTCTTTCTCAAATACCATCCAATTATTATTTTGCATCACAATTATCTACATATTTTGATTAATAAATTTTATAATAATTATTACTTTATTTAAACAAATAATTGAAATGTTAAAAAAAAAAAGATGAACAATTTTGGAAAGACATTTTATAAGTTTCCTATGTGGGATATGACTGTAAATTATATGCATGCACTTTGTGTGGTAGCATGGATATGTAAGATATGGTGTTCATATGATAATTCACATTCCACAAATGTTTTGAGAAGACAATAATGAAAAATTTAAGCTAAAATATTCCATCTATTCATCATTACTTGCCTATTTTTATCTTAACATTTTTTTTTCTCAAAGAAATACAGAAGGAAGAGAAGCATTGTTGCAACAAAACATGCTAAAAAAAAAAAGAAAGAGGACCAAGTTATCTCCCATAATAGTCATCTATTGTGGGTTTCTTTCTCCTTCTTTCAAAGTCTAGTCATGATTTGATTTCTAAAAGAAGTCACTAATGAGTTATTCTAAATGGAAAATATGGTTGTCTGTCTCTCTCACATCAAAATTTGTGTTTCTTAAATAGATTATATGTGCTTGGTTTGTCCACCTCTTTTTATTAATTAGGCTTCTTAGTTTCTTTTCTTATTACCTGTTTAGGCAAGATTTAGTAATGTTGTAAGTTAGCTGATTGATTTTTGATGGCAATGTTCTGAAATTAAATCCCACCTTCACCCTTATCGATTATTCTAAAAGAAAAAGATAACTTTAAAAATAATTAAAATCGAGAAACTTATCATATCATAAATTTTTATTCCTCTGAGGTATATTTATGGTTGATATTGGTAAATTAGGCTTATATTAGGCAAACTTAAGCCACACAAATTCTAATGGATGAAAGTTAGTATTGTTAATCATTAGAGTATATATATTATTATCCTTATATTTTTTAAGATGTCAACTAACTCAGTTAATAAAAATCTTGATAGTTTATCGTAGATTCGAATTTCATCTTTGTCATTTATCCTTTGTCAATAAAAAAAATTATCAATTTATACGGTATCTTATTTTGAAGCTAATGCTGTCTCTATAGGTCATAATAACTTATGATGTTTGAAGCATTGATTTCAAACAAGGTTATATCTACTGCTTGGAGTTGTTTGAAGCATTGATTTCAATATGGTGATATCCAACTCTCTTGTGATTAATGAAAAGAAGCCATATGAACCAATGACCAACAACACTGATGCACTCTTGTTGATTTGTCTCTATCGATCGAACACAGTGATATGTACTTTTTTTTTTTTTCTTTTCTTAGTGACTAATGGATGTGTATTGCTCTAACACAATGTTTTATGCATTTTATTATGTGGCTTGTGTGAGCACACAAATTTGCAATTCATGTATATATTTAATTCTCAAATATGATAATTTTGTGTAAGTAACACATTGTGTACTCACAATATATTATCACGATATATTTTTTATCAATGAGAATTAAGATATTTGGATATGAAAATAATATTTTTTTTTCTTTAAATAGTCAACTTGTGAAAACCAATCTTTTTTCATATTAAATAGAAAAGCATATAATATAAGAAGGTACATACACAACTAACTCACAAGTCATCTCGAGGTATATGACCCAAGTCATCAAATTATGATCCGCGATCTTAATTTTGAATACACATTAATTCCGAATGAATAAATATTTTTATATTATTATTATTATAAAAATAAATAAAAATATATATAGATAATTTATCAAATAAAATCTTTTGTAACGAGCAATATAGTAATTTATCAAAAAAAAATCTTTAGTTATGGACTTTTATCAAATGTTGTCTTGATATCGAGTCATGATTATCCAATTATTTTGAGATAAACCAAATACCTATTCAACTAAATCCTAACTATTCAATTAATTTAGTTAAACCCTATTTTACCCATTGATTTTTCAAAATTACCCTTTCCTCCTTCCACTTTACTATCTTCTACTACTTCTTCTGCTATTGGTGAATAGTTTCCTCCTCCCTCTCCTCATTCTTCTCCGTCTCCTCATTCTCACCTCCACCTCCATCTTTCGCTTCCACTTTACTGTCATCGTTGTTGCCTCTTCCTCCTACTCTCTTTTTGCCACTTTCGTATCCACTTTTTCTCTTCTCTTCCTATTAGGATCAAGAGCACTAACAGGGGGGTGAATTAGTGCAGCGGAAATCTTTCGACGATAAAAAAAAGTATTACACTTTTATATACGAGTTACACTCATTCACAACAAATATTAAAAAAATTTTATTATATAAAAAATCTTCAATTTATCATAAAACTAAGAAAACTCAAGTTATCTTAAAAATATATTAATTTTTATATAAAATTATTTTAAAAAATTATTACACTTGAGTTACACTCATTCACAAAATATATTAAAAAATAGTATATATATAAAATTATCCTAAATTTATCAAAAAATGCTCGAGGTATCCTAAAAAATATATTAATTTTATATAAAAGTTTCATAACTTATATTAAAAAAAATTATAATACTCGAACTACACTCGAGTTACACTCATTTATAGAATATATTAAAAAATATATTGATTTCTATATAAAATTATCATAAAATCTTATATTTCCTATTTTCTATTTTAATATTGATTTATTTACACTTGAAATTGAATTATATTAAACAAATTGTCTAACTTATTTTAAAGTTTATATTTTTTATTTTTAGATATTTTTAGGATAATTAACTATCAAAACGATTAAATATCTACTAGAATATGATTTTAATAGAAAAAATTATACTAGTTTTTTTTTATGACGAATTTAAAATAAATTTATATGAAAATTAATATATTTTTAGTAAGTTATGTAAATAAGTGTAACTTTGATTGTAACTTGAATGTAAGGGTCCAACCTGACCCGATCTACTCCGAAAGAGTCCAACATGAATTGACTTGAAACAATCTAATTCAAACGTATTATTGAGATATTAAAAAAAAAATTCTTAGAAAAGAATAAATATGAGAGCACCATATGATAAATCCTCATTATTATAAATCTTTTTCAGTAAATTGATTTGACTCAGACCGAATCAACTCATGGATTGATCGAACTCGAAATAATCCGATCAAAAGATATATATTTTTTAAAAAAGAGATACCCCTTGGATTTTTAAAAACCAAATATGGGGGTGTCATTATGTAAAAATCTATAATTATGGATTTTTTTAATAAAATGGTGCCCAAAAAAGAAATCATATCTCTCATATCTATACTAGTAGATCGATCTAGCGCATGCCCATGTAAATTGGATATCCCATCATCATGTTACAAAATATGCAATGGTTCAAAATTAATATACAATATATATTGCATATTAAGTGTATCACATCCTTCCAAAATTTTGCAAGATACGGTGTTAATACGGTAATTCATTATCCACATATTTCTTATGAAAATAAAATAACAGAAAATTTCGTTCTAGAATATTATAAAATTATTTCATGCCTAATAAAGAGAGAAGAGAGATAATATGGATAACTCCATCTTACTAACCTTAATCGCTTTGGTTGTCGAGAGGAGGAGTACAGTGACGACCATCATCCATCATGCTGCATTGATGCGAGAAGCTGTTTCCTTCCAAGATTTAGTGATGAGTTCATTTACGTTAAATAGGAAAAGATTTGCCTTTGTCTCTCTCTCTCTCTCTCTCTCTCACAAATACTTCTTAGATTCTATTTTCTTGGTTTGTCAGCTTCTCTCTCTTAGCCTTTTACACTTGATAAAGATTTAAGCAAGCTTTGGTTATGTTGTGTTCTTAGACACAATCTAATGCAACAGAAGAGACCGAGGTTGATAAATGGTCCTGTCACAATCTTCTTTATTCACCTGAGAAATGTTCTTCTAATTATGAAGTCCTTCTAAAGTATATGAACTCCTTTTTCTTGATTTGTCTTAAAATTTTCAGCCTATATATAATATTCTACAAATTAATGATTTAAATCCAGAATACATTTTATTTATTATGCTTGCTGATATCTTGCTTATGGACATTGTTGTTGTGCAGACAAAAATGGCTTCCTATCCTCTCTGTACTGAGAAGACCATCAGACAAATCACTACCATTCAAGTATAATAACCAAAAATTGATAAGAAGACAAAAAAAATCTATGTCTAATTTGGATTAATATTTTGCTGATCTATATTCAAATGTCGGGTATGGATCCAAGAACAGATTGGGCTTAGGTCTGGTATCTGATGGATCCGACCCGACATCATCGCCCATTTCCGAAACAAAACTATGAAAAATGCGCTCGACAAACCATCAATCATATACTCATAAAATCATTGAACAGGAGGCATACACACAATCAAGCATGTAGCACAAAAAGTCAAAAGATCATGATCCACGATACAATGAAAAATTTACAAGCTGCATGATCTTGTAATGTGCACCGGCTAAAGATTAAAGACGCATATTTGCTACATCTAAGGACACCAAAAATTTAGTCGTGGGACGAATAACACAAGTATTTTCTCCACACTTTACATAGTCCCATCTCGATTGACGATTTGACTGAACAGTCAGAAAGCACCAAATATCAACAATACGGTGTCTCGAACACAATCCAAAGGGTACAGACACAAGTATTATGAGCTACAGGGATTTGGAATGCACGCTGCAGGGTCTGTATTCTGCTGTTCCTTCCATATGCGACCGGTAACCCGCAGTTTCAGCTCCTTCCTATCTCCGCCAGAGAAGAAGAGTGCCATATTCCTCTGAATTATTAGACCATCATGACTGTCTCGAACTTTCCGGTGGCTGTCACGAATGCTGCGAGGGGTACCTTCCCATATTAGTTTCCTGCCACTCGAACCAACCTCGAGGCTGTAGCTATAGTGCCTTGCTTCAGTCTCGTCACCCATGAAACGGAGGAAGGTCATGTATACTGGTGCCACCCCAAGCTGAAAAGCCTCAAAATGGAGACAGAAATACTGCCCATAACAATGAAACACCTGTAGAACATGGAGACAGCAAATGGTAGAATATGGAAGAAAAATGCAGGTAAAGTGGCATATGACTAAACAACATGTATAGAAAACGAGGCAGTTAAAGTTTAAATTAAGTCTAATCATATGCTTTAACAGTGTTTCCTTCCATCATAGATCTCTACAAAAGTAGATCATATATTTCAAAGCACACAAATAAAGAAAATCATTTTAGATTTAATCCTTCAGTAAGGACACAGTGAACTTTAGAGTGCTTAGCATACTTACAGTCAGCATCCAGGTGGCATTTTCTACCTCTCTAGGATTGGACTTCACGTATCTATGGTTGAATGTGGAACCAATGTGCATATCTACCTTGTGATCATCCCTCAGATGTGCCACGAGAAAAGGAATATCCCCGACAACAGAGCATTCAGAACCCGCATATGGGCAGTTGTATGGTCTAAAATTACACCAAGCTTCATGCTGGAGCTTGCTGTAGTATGGGAAGATTTCAGGGCAACCCAATGAGAAATACCGACAAGGGAGCTCGAGTGACTCGGCAACTTTTTCCAATGCCAAACATCTGATGTCTCCAAGCTCTTGCCTACATGTGGGGCAACGATTATGCACCCTTGATTTACAAGCTGAACATAGAGTGTGTCCATTATGGCACTGCAAAGATTCAGATTAATTTTCAGTACAAAATAATTTATAAGAAACATACCATAATCTAGAGGAAATCTGGAAGAATAGAAGTAGAAATCTCCATGAAAAAAAAAAAAAGCTTCACACCTTTTGAAACATCATAACAATCCTTTTCTTATTTCGGTACTGAAATGTGACAACATTTTGGATATTAAAGAAGACAATTTCAAGCCATTTGAGAGTATCAAACAAGGTTTACGTATAAGTTCTCCAAGCTAACAAATAGCAAACATATCGGCAAATGTACAGGACATATGCAGCTGAGAAAGCAAAGAAAGCTAGCAACTCTTATTAGTACCAGACATGCAATCACCAACTTCCAAAGCTCACCGAAAGCTTACTGCATAAATGATTACTGCTAGTCTGTCTACATAAAATAGTATAAGCGAGAAAACTTTTAGTTCGACAATGAAAGTCTAAACACCGAAATGTTGAGTTTCAATTCGCTGACACATTTATCTCCAGTATCATACTGTAAAAGAGAATCGACTAGAAGTAGAAGCTAACATTTACATGCTGAATTATATCATAACCTAAGAGCAAAAAAAAGGCCTTAAATGTTAACCATCGAGTCCATAAACCAATTCAAGAAAGACATGAAGAAAAAAGAACAAATATGATACATGTACGATGATTGAAGACTACGGCCTCTCTTTAGCAAATTCGGAAAATATATGTCAATCATATGCATCCGACACATATGTGGATCAATTTAAGCTAACAATTATACAGAAGTCAGAGCAAAACACTACAAACTGAGGACAACAAAAACAAAGGAAAAGAAGAAAAAGAAATGGTCTTAATTTCATATCATCATGATTTCTTGAAAAATAATAACAGGCACAAAAACTACATTCGCTAGAAGTGTAGATCGAGATATTATTTCACCGACTTCAGCAAGATCATAGATTGGCACAGAAAAGATCACACATTTGTCTGTCCTTGAGAATCAAAACAGGTGAAAATATTGCAGCTTCACGTCACCAAGCTTGAGATTCCCAAGAAAAAAAAAATCGATGCCGAAAATCTTAACTTTATTCCAAAAATCACTTCAGTTTCGCTCGAAACACAAAATCAAGAACTCAAATCTGGCAACGATCTGGCTAGATGAAGCCCCAACAGTCAGCAAGGACAGAGGGGAAATCCAGAAGAGGCAAACCCACCTGATGGATCGGGGGGTACATCGAGTTGGTGCAGACGGGGCACTCCAGCAACTCATGCACCCTGGTCGCAGGGCTCATCACGGGCGACCGGCCGCCGCCGGCGACAGTCCCGCTTCCATCGCCGTGTGGCTTCAGGAAGGGGTGGGGCACATGGGCGACCTCCTCATCGTCCACCACCGTCGCGTCCGACACCGAGATGCACTCGATGTTGTCCGATTCCATCACCAAAGAAACGAAAGGAGGCGCCTTGCGACCCCTGTTCTCTTCTTTCTGGCTCCCGTCGCGGGGGGAAGCAGAGTTACGGATCCCTCCCTCGGGAGAACCAAAGCAGTAATAAATGCGACAGAACGGTGGGATTTGCAGCACCAAATTGAACTTTCGAAACTGTGGGTTTGTTGGCAAACCAAAACGGAGTTCAGAAAACACTTTTGTTTTTTGTTTTCAGGTAAATTGTTTGCTTCAGAAGTTAGTAGGTGAGAGGACAACAGGGGAAGACGATGGGCGAGCTTTAGTGACTGCTTGTAAAGTGATCCATCCATGTTCTTCTTACCAAAAGGAGTTTTTGGATGCCTCTACAACTTTGAGTTTTGATTTCTTTGCTTTGAAGGAATACAAAAGAGAGAGTTTGATTTCTGATTCCATAAAAATAAATAAGAGTTTGATTTTTTTTTCTCAACACATCTTTTTAAATACCAAAGAGTGAAATCATGAATTTTATTTTATTTTATTTTATGAAAGTTTCTCAAGATATCATTAGCAACTCCGAAAACAACTGTAAACTCAATGAATAGACAAATTTAGGTAATGCTGAAAATAGTATGATAACGGAAAATTGTTACAAAGATCACTAAAACTCCAAAATGAAACTTAAATATTCGTTAACAATCCAAAAATACAAATGGTTAGTATGCCGACAACCTTCCGATCACATCTCTCTTCGTGAATAGAAAATTTTGAGAAAGATTGGAGAGATGCTTCTTGATGATGGAGTTCAGTCTCACGCTTCAACAAAGTCCTGCATAGAAAAGTTTTCTTTTGGTATCTGTAGATCAAGATACTTCTTGATGATGGAGTTCAGTCTCGAGCTTCAACAAAGTCCTGCATCGGCTCTTCATGCTCATTTTGAAACAACACCAAGTCAGGAACTTCTTCGATACTTTCAGCAGGCTGGCTTGCCCAAGGAGAAAAGAAAGAAAGTGTATCAGAGGAGTAATGATTAGTTCTTTGTATCGTGTTCTTTAAATTTTTTTTGAGTTTTGATACTGTGTAGGAATTAGCAGAAGGTAACTAAATACCTGCCATAATTCCAAAAGCCGCCACAGAAGGAAATTGACAATCATGACTAGGCCAAACAGCTTGCCAGCCCAAGTACCGCATTTCAGGTATCTAAATTCATAGGAACAGTTAGTTACGATAATGAATTGTATCGATGCATAAAAGGTTGGAAAACCAACTTTCGGATAACTATGAGCATATGGAAGTTTAGAAGCTTCCTACAACATGTTGTTGTGCAGTAGTTAAGGGAAACACAGGATAGCTATTTTTTATTTCACTGAACATATAATTCAATTCTAGGAGAAAACTTTCCAGAGATCAACTTATTATCTTATTTGCCCAAACCATCAAAGGAAAGCTGCAGAATCCATAAGAGACTTGCTGATATACTTACCGCGGCAGGCGTTGCAACAGATTTTCATCAGTGGACTGTAATGCACAATTATACACGGTCTCTGTTCTTTTAGCCACATCATGCCAGCTGTACAGTTTTTTCATCTGATATAATCCAATGTAACAAGAAAAAAAATGATAATCTATTAGTTTGCATGAATTTATTTATAAAGAAATGCACAGTAACAAGAAAAAGAAATGTGATTTGACCCTTTAAAAATGCCAAAACTTGTTACGGTTGACATCGTACCCGTGAGTGCATGACATGTGGATTGATATTAGGAAGCATGTGAATAGCTTTCCCAATAGCATGCACCATATCCCCTGGGTCTGGTTCTGCAAGCACAATCATGTCATCCGGAAGGACCTGCAAAATTCAACATGATGAAAAACTTAATTACTGTTTTCAACTTTTACTCGAACAAGAATTAAGCATCAGTAGCATTAGGACATAAAAAACACACAAGAAATCCCTATGTGCATGCCTCTGGGACACCTCCAACTCTTGTGCTCACAGTAAGCAATCCACAGCTAGCAGCTTCCAGAATGGCTATGCAAAAAGCTTCTGTAAGAGAACTACAAAATTACACATAAGTCAATCATATGCTCGTTCAAACTTAAAGCACCTAAACTGTGTTTACATGGATTATATACACAAATCTTGGAAATTTTTGTTCGCACCAGCAAATCATTTTCCTTACTATAAGAAACAAGCGGGAAAATCTTTATAGACAAGAAAGTTCAGTTACCTAAAGGTTAATCACAAGGACTTAGATGACCCTTAAATTAAATTCAGCGAGAACAGACAGGTTATATTTAGCTCAGCTCCATTTGTAATATCAATCAACTCAGGTAAATAGAGACAAGATAAGAGCACACAATTTCCTACACCTAGTACTAAACACCAAAAAATGTTCCATGTAGCTACCATGTCTTGGAATCCACATAAAATTAGTACCAAGATACCTTAAATTGGAAATACAAATTTAACATAAGCACACATAATATCCTATTATTAATACTAAACACCAGATCTACCGTATCTCAGTATCGACATAAATTAAGTACCTTCAGTTATGAAAAGGAACTGCATATACAGTTCACATATGCCAGCATTTATTCAGTAGTCAAGGCTAAAATACCATAATTATTTTAATACTTCATTAGAAGAGATTTTGCTTGAATGGATGCCATGCATGTCAAACAATTCACTAAACCTCAGGAGCTTTTAAACGAGCATAATTTAACTGGATTTTAATAAGATTAAAAGGAAGGATTAAGAAAGAACTACCTGTTTAGAAATATATGACCAGAAATAAGAACAGATCGCACTTGAGAATGTGGAACAGCACCCAACATTTCAACTCTATCCTGAAGAGAGTACTTCTCCCTCATCTCTTCTAGCCGCACACGTTTTGGCCCATCTCCTCCAACTACAAAACGGACCTTATAAAAAGTAAACTATAAGGAAAGAGAATTTAACAAACAATTATGGCACTCTCATTGTTGCATCATTAGAAAAAAGAATTGAACGCTTTAGCTTACATTTGGAAAGAGATGACAGACTTCTGGGATGACCTCAACAAGGAGATCTGCACCTTTCCGGTACACCAATCTACTCACAACAATGATGACAATTTCATCACAACTGAGCCTAATTGGGGCAGGACTGAACATAGCAGTGTCCACAGCATTAGGTATTACAAAAACTCTCTCAGGTGTTATCCCAGACCTCAAAACTGTGTTCTCCTTGCTTGTATGAGAAACACATATAGCCTGACTTATGTCAGCAAGTGTAAACTGCAACACCTTATTCATGTGAATGCTTCCGACATCTGCAAAACCGTAGAGTGAATGATCTGTGAATATAATCTTGTAACCCATGGTCCTGGCATGCATCAGTGCTTCGTGACAAAGAGTTGAAAAAGCTTGATGTCCATGAACAATAGAAATCTTCTCACGAACAAGAATGGTCCTTGTGATGGGAAGTGTTCCATAAAATGTTGGTAATGTATTCTGCATAAGGAATGGTCTCCATGGCACATAATAAACTTTCAGACCATTGGTCACGTACCGAACTCCAGAACGGTTTCCATATGCATGTGTCATAACCACCACCTAAGCAATGCATTTAGAAAAGCCTAAGATCAATTTAAGAAATCAAGGTTATACGAGTGTAAAATTAGTATGATGACCAAAAGGTTGCTGATCAAATGCAAACAAGTGGCTGTATTAGTCAACCTTGCAAGAAGAAGCAGCAATTAATCAGGTTTCTTTTCTCAGCTAAGCAGAAAACAAAATGAACATCTTATACAGAAAGAAAAAACTGTTCAACCTTGTGGCCAAGCTTAAGCAAGCATTGTGACAGATAATAGATGTGACTTTCCACACCGCCAAAGTTTGGGTAGAAGAAATCAGAAACCATCAAAATCCTGTGCTTCCTTTGTTGATCCATGGCAATCAGAAATCAAGGTCCTGAAAGTCAGAAAATCTATAGTAACTATTAAATAACATCACAAAGAATTAATAATCCCTTGAAGAATGCAACACTGACAAGACAGCAAGATAAGTAGAATACACAGCTTGAAATATTTCATGTGGTCATTATTAGTTGAAGAGATAGAAATTAAACAGTTTAACTATGACGGACAAAGGAACATAATCTAAGTCCCTTAAAGAGCAGCTAAAAATGAAAAACCAGATATGACCTGGTGTAGGCGACCTTGTACAAGCTTTGAGCACAGCTGAACAAAGTGGGAACGCAGAAGCTTAAATGGTCAAATTGACCTTGGCTACCGATAAAGTCAACAAGTAAAAGATTCATGCTCTACAATATGTTCATTGGCAAATATAGTGTGTGCGCCCACACACACATATATACACACACAAATATATATATATATATATATATATATATATATATACGAGTTATTAGGAAAACATATCTAAAAAAGTTATGTCAGGGTTATTAGTTAATTAGCTACCTTAGCATTTCGATCTTTGTATTTTTAAAGATTAGCTACCTTAGCATTTTAAACTGTTGCTCCAATGAAATCTCTCTCTTAATTTTTAACCCTGATATCAATTTAATTTTTAAAAATATAAAAAAAAATGTAGGGATTCGAATACTAAAGTAGCTAATTACAGAGGTAATATATGTAATTAGCCCGTCCGGAAGGAGGCAAGGGCTACCAGGAAGGTTGGGGGCCGACAGCGGATGAGTAGAAAGAGAGAGAGAGACAGCGGGAGTGAAGAAGGAGGGCGCTGTCGGGGACGCTCGGTAGGGGCGATGGCGGAGGAGGGGGCGAGACAGCAGGAGGGAAGGAGAGTGGGGAGGGGATATCGAGGAGGCTCGATGGGGTGGCTGCAGAGGAGGGAGAGAGATATCGGGAGGGAAGGAGACGGGTGGGAAGGGGAGAGGAGCATGAAGGAGGAAGACGGAGGGGGCGTCGAGGAAGCTTGGCGGGGACGGAGGCAGGGGAAGAGAGGGAGAAAGAGGGAGAGCGACAGCGATTGGAAAGAGAGGCAGGAGGCAGAACGCCGGTTGGGAGAGAGAGAGAGAGAGACAGAGGAAGAGGAGGTACCGCCACCGATGGAGGGCTGCCTTGTGCACGGACGCGGGGAGGAGTGGCCGGAATCATCGCTGAAGAGGAGGCGGTGGCGACGGCAACGAGGCGAAGTGAACGACATGGAGAACGAGAAAAGGGTTTCTCTCACCAGCGGGCCCGCGGCGCGGGACTTGGCTTGGTTGAACCGATTGTAACATTCGGATTCAACTCAAGCCAAGTCAATTTCAATCAGGTTTCAAATTGGGCCAGGCGAGCGCCTGGGCGGCCCAGCGTGTGGGCCCAGCCGAACCGGCGTGAGAAATGAGAAATAATTAGACAAATTCATCGAATCGGGCCTAAAATAAGCCGCAAAAGAGTCGTGTGTATGCGAGACCCGTAAACGCGCGCCGCCGCACCGTCGTTGGAAGGGAGAGAGGCGGAGAGGGGTTGAAGCCGAAGGATAATAGAGATGGCGAGGTGATCGTAGTCCTACCACTTGGATCAAATATATCTGAATATATGCATCATGATCGCCCACAATACGAACTAATTCAAAGAAGAAACCATTGACGACTTGTGAGGAGAAGGATGAAGACGAGAAAGCATCCTTGCCATCATAGCGATAACTACAGAGGTGGTCAGTAGGGCATTGTAGTGGGTTACCAGCTTGCCATGAGATGATCAACCGGACAAGAACCCCAGCAAGAAGAAGGGCGCCAAGGTCGAGTTCAAGCAGATCTCCGAAGCCTCGGAGGTACTCTTCGGGATAAAAAAATCCAATCTTTTTTTGTTTGCTACATTAATCATGCCCGTGTTTCTTCTAAAGATCAAACCTTGATCAAAATTCTTGCATTTTTTCCGTCCTTTGCAAGGTGGATTCGCTTGTGATAAACGAGCATGACGATGCTTTTGCATGCAATGCAATTATTGTGAGAGTACTCGGCCATGAAACTTCGTTCAATCCTCAAGTCTTGCTAGTTCTGTTTCTCTATGACGACGTGCCGGCTTCGTCTTGATGATTCATTTCAAGTCTTCAAGCTCTTGAGCGATCCAAAGTAGCTGACCATGAGAAGACTTCCTGCATTCCTTCCAAATCATAAAGCGACCGTCTTCCCTCTCAAAACTTCCCATCCCCTCGCCGCTAGAAGATGCAAGGAAGTTGGCTCTCACTGGAAGGCCGCGCTCTTCCGCCTCCTCGAAAGCCGTGACATGGACGAAGCCCGCCGCCTTTTCACCAGAATTCCTTCTCCCGGCGTCCAACTCTACACTATGATGATCGTTGGATACTCGCAGACCAACCGCATCGACGAGGCCTTCCGACTGTTCGACGGTATGCCGGTGAGAGACACCGCTGCATGGAATTCCATGATCAAGGCCGCCTTAGACTGCGGTGACTTGAGTCTTGGGCGGAAACTGTTCGATGAAATGCCGGAGAGGAATGTGATCTCGTGGACGACGATGATCAATGGGCTCTCGCGGTTCGGGTGGATCGATGCGGCGGCGGAGCTGTTTTTTAGGATGCCTCAGCGGGACACTGCCGCGTGGAATGCCATGATTTCCGCGTATTGTGACAATGGAAGAGTTAAGGATGCTCGGTTGTTGTTCGAGAAGACGCCGCAACCCAATGTGATTTCTTGGACTGCAATGATCGGAGGTCATGACCAAAACGGGGAGAGTGACAAGGCATTGCTCCTTTTTCACAAACTGTGGAGTTCTGGGACGAAGCTGACGCCGAGCACTTATGCATGTGTCCTAACGGCCTGTGCCAATGCATCGGAATTAGGACTAGGCACGCAGCTGCACTCCCATACTGTAAGAACAGGCTATTCATCAGATACATTTGTTTCTACTTCACTGGTCAACCTTTATGCCAAGTGCAAACAGATTGAGGATTCAATCCAGTTATTCAGTGAGAGGAAAGAAAGGGATGTGGTCTCTTGGACAGCTCTCATAACCGGCTACGGTCTGAACGATAGACATGAGGATGCACTGGACGAATTCAACAAAATGATTGCATTTGGTATCAGGCCGAATCAGTCTACCTTCACCAGTGCATTGAACTCATGCTGTGGGCTGGAAGCTCTCGATGGAGGAAAGAAGCTCCATGCAACTACAGTCAAGCTGGGTTTGGAACTTGATGTGTTTGTGGGCAATTCTCTGGTTGTGATGTACTCCAAATGCGGGGATGTAGAGGATGGTCTGATGTTGTTTGACAGTATGGATAGGAGGAATCTCGTCTCATGGAACTCGATCATAGTTGGATGCGCACAGAACGGGTATGCAACATTGGCACTGAAGCTCTTTGATGACATGAGACAGATCAACGTACAACCTGATGAGATCACATACACAGGGCTGCTGACCGCTTGTAGCCATTCCAGAATGCTCGAGAGGGGAAGGCACATTTTCCATCTCCTAAAGCATGATTCCTCGGTCCAAGTGAAGCTCGAGCACTATGTTTGTATGGTGGATATCTTAGGCCGGTGCGGAAACCTGGAAGAAGCAGAAGAGTTCATTCGGAACATGCCCGTGGAACCGAACAGCAAGATATGGTTGGCTCTGCTCGGTGCTTGCAGAATGTATGCTAATATCGAAGTTGCTCGCAGGACTTCCAAGAAGGTGTTCGACATGGAACCAGATAACAGTGCGGCTTACGTATTGCTGTCCAACATATATGCTTCAGCCGGAAGATGGAATGATGTATCACAAACCAGAGTGATGATGAGATATCGAGGAATCACCAAAGTTCCCGGTTCCAGTTGGATTACGCTGAAGGAAACAAGGCATGAGTTCGTGTGTGGAGACAGGTCTCACCCTATGGCCATGGAGATATACAAGAAGTTGGACTGGCTCGGAGTTAAGCTGAAGGAACTTGGCTATGTTTGCGACAAAACATTTGCGTTGCACGATGTGGATGATGAACAGAAGGAGGCAGCGCTTGCGCACCACAGCGAGAAGCTTGCTATTGCCTTCGGTCTTATTAGTACCGTAGAGGGTAGTACGATCAGAGTCATGAAGAACCTAAGGGTGTGTGGGGATTGCCACTCTGCCATAAAAGTCATGTCGCAAGTCGTCGGGCGTCGGATTGTGTTGAGGGACGCCACTCGTTTTCATCACTTCAGGGATGGGCTCTGTTCTTGCGGAGATTGCTGGTGACCATGTATACATTCTTTCCAAGTGGATAACTCTTCAGCTCATTACATGGTCTTCGTATTGCACAAGACAAAAGATTGCTATGGTACCACAAGTAATCTGATATATCATCAAACAGGAACATGTCAGATTGATTGGACGTGTGTTGCATGTCTTCTGGCTTTAAGAAAAAGAAGCAACTCAGTTGTGCACGCCTAATTGTATTAAAAGATCGTACGTGGTGTTTGGGTCCTCGGTGAGTTGGAGTCGCAAACAATGTGGAGTCCTTTGTTGTTCAGTTATATCATCATCAATTAATGATTCTTGTTGTTCTAATGGCACCGGTGCAGATACAGCATCAGCTGAAGAAAGAAAGGAGAGGGGCAAAAAAGAAATACATCAGTTAAAAGAAAAAGTACCTGCTTTCCCTCAAGAACTCCAGTTCACGTGTCTCCCAAAGTGAAGCTCTTTCTGATAGCTGCAAGGTCCTATGAACAGGCTATGTCTCAAGCAACTGGACTAACGCGACAGGTGAATAACTCCTTAGTATTTATTGATTCACGTAATCGTCTCAAATGTTTGGTGCAACACACAGGTAGTAAGTACCTTTTTACAGATGTAAGCAGCTTTCGTGTAATATTGCAGAGGCTAAAGCTTTCTCTAGCTTTGTAATCATCAATCGGCCATTGTATCTTCGGTGCTATCTTCTACGCTGAAGCCTACTTAAATGTCTGTGATTGCAGAGGCTAAAGCTTGGATCTACATGGGACGCATGCTTCTCGGAATGAGTGAGGTGTGTGCCTTCATCAATCAATTCCGGTGCACGCTCGTGATGAATGGTTCCCATGGAGGTGGTCCTTTTCTGTTCCATGGCGTCTGCACAAAGATAGAAGGTACTGTTCTTACTGCTTGTATGTCTCGGCCAAAGATTCATGTCGCTTATGTATGTAATGCTTTTACGTTTTGGGTTTAATGTGTCGAAAGCCTTCAGCAGCACTGGAGAAGGGATCGACGAGTAAACAACTCGAGTGCATGGATGAGGCTGCCGCGCGTAGCCTTTTTGACTCCCACACTAACTTCATGGGTACTTTATTATTAGTGTTAATATTATTTGAAGAATTATTGGGTGAGCCAATCTTTCTTTGCCTATTTGTTTAAACCCCTGTCACTTCCATAACGTCTCCTTAGACTTTTTACCCTGCTCTCTGTGCTTTCATTGTTGGGGGCCCCACCACCACTGTCAGCAAGAATCCAAAGCCTCGACATGTCTTCGGGTCTCTTATTCTTTTGTTCTGCGGCACAGCTTTATGTTTTTATTTTATTTCTGTGCTTTCCTCTCTTATTTGTTTTATTTTATTTTATGGTGGCCTGCAAGCGGAGAGAGTTTACAATCTCTCTCTGCTGCTGCTGCTGCTGCTGCCGCTGCCGCCGCCGCAGCTCCTGCTGTTACAATCTTGTACACTCCTTTTTCTCTTCTTCGATTCACAGAGGCAGAAAGCTCTGGGAGATCTTAATGTGGCCACTGTGAATTGATCGTTTCTTCTTTTGTTAAGCATCAGAGGATGGAAGCCACCAGAAGAAGTCTATCTCTATCTCCAGTCCTGATCTCCTTCTACTCCCATGCTTTAATGCATTGTTTAAAAACGACTGTTGCAGATTCTTCTGATTTTTTGGCAATGTTGTGTTCAAAATCTTGTCTGATGTAATGGCCCTTTAGGTGCAGTTGCTGCTGAGTTTCTTGGATCGGAACCTTGTTTTGGTTGATCTCTGGTTCTGTGTCCGTGTCTTCCTGGAGTTTTTGGGGTAGTTCAAAGATTTGGTGGAAAGATTCAATTTTGGAGTGGGTTTAGATTTATCTTCCGTGTTACGTTTCCTGATGCTTGACTAAGGGCCCGTCTTTGTTCTTGTTGGGGTACTTGCTTCATGATGAAATGGATCAGATCCTAGGCGTCGCATCAAGTTCTTTGTGAAATTGGTTTTCTTTGATTCAGCCTTCCAAAGATTTGAACCTTGTAGGGCATTTCATGTCATATTATAGGTTTTTGCTCCTAAACTTGTAGGATGGCTAAGAAAGGTGGCAAATCCTCTGGGGATATAGAAGAAGGGCCGCACCACTCTCACTCGAATGACAGTGACGAAGATAGCCTCTGTTTCTCAGACGCAGAAGAGCATTCTTGGCATTCGCCGTATGGCTCCAACTGTGGCAGTTCCACTCACAATGGCTGCCGGATCTCTGGCGCATCCTGCCGTGAGATCAAGGGATTTCAAGAGCCTTGTAGAAAATCCTGTGTCTCACAGTCTTCGCTTGATGATGATCTGGAGACTGGCACTACGATGGTGAAGGTAAATACTGATAAGGGAGAGAGAGATTGCAGGATTTGTCATCTCAGCTTGGAGAAGGCAGCTCCAGAGTCGGGAGTCCCGATTGTGTTAGGCTGTTCCTGCAAGGGTGATTTAGCCGCTGCCCACAAGCAGTGCGCTGAGACATGGTTTAAAATCAAAGGAAACAAGTAAGCTTGCAATTACTCTTGTCCTACTCTTTCTCCAATCTTTTGTTGCTTCATCGGTCCTGAGGTCCTTTAGAATATGGATGATCCTGGATTGATTGAATTATGTATGATGCCATATTTGTTAAACATCGACATGAAGTCTGCATTTGATGTGTATGTAGATCATGCCAATAGAGATATGATTTCTGTGAAGATATGATATGATTTCTGTGAAGATTCTATGATTTCTGTGAAGATATGATATGATTTCTGTGAAGATATGATATGGTTTCTGTGTATGTAGATATGATATGATTTCTGTGAAGATACGATATGATTTCTGAAATGCACAAAACTTAAGTCATGCAGATATGATTTCTGTGAAGATTCTAGAGAGGAAAACCATGCATCTGCATGCACAGAGCTAGTTTGTCTCTCAAATCATGTCATTTTTTATATTGGCTTCAGAAAGACGTACAAAACTAAGTAGACGATGACAAAATGACAATTTCAGGAAGCAATGGAAAAGTTGAGTAATCACTTGACCTACTTTGTGGATAAAATGCAACGCATAATGTGCCAATGTAGTATAAAAAACTAGTACATGATAATTATAAAATGAGGAAATGTAATATGATCAACCTTTGTTCATGTCAGTAGTGGCAGAGTTTAAACATCAGGAATCCATAAATTGAACTTTCTACACCATTGAGTTATGTCAGATGCAAATAACACTAGTTCAAAGTATGAACCATTACCAGATTGGAGATAAAAGAGAGTGCAATCGATGAACGAAAGGACAAATAGATGATGCGGGCAAACCAAGCACGGGGACTGCATGTCCGAAACACAGTGCAGCCTACCACCTTTCATGCAAATATATAAAAACAGTTCTCCTGTTGTATATACTTAACGATGATTTTTCTGTCTGTTTGTACATAAATATCAAAATGTCAAACTTTGCTGTTATATAACTTAAATTTAAAGAAGTAGGTCAGAAATTTATAGAGCATAATTTAAAGAAGTATTCAGGAAAACGTTATTTGCACTGATTAGACTGGTCAGGTGATCTATTTTTTCTGCTATTTCCTTACCCTCTTGTACAGTTTGTTATTTCTAGTGGATATTATCAGACTGATTCCCTTTTTGAAGGATGCCCTACATGAATGGGAAAGAAAAGGAATCTGTTGAATGGTAGAACTATAGGAGGCACAGCAATTTTTTTCAGATCTTTTGAAGGATGTCCTACATGAATGGGAAAGAAAAGGAATCATGGATCTGACTGTTTCTCATGTGCCTCGTGTTTTTTCCTTCGCAGCACCATGTAAGAAAGTGCAAACATGAGTGTGCAAACATAAAATTGGTGTCAACACCTTAAAACAACCAGTCAGTTTCTAGTTTGCATTAGGTTCTGCCATAATGAAAGAGGCCTCCTTCATCACTCAGCATTTCTATGACGTGGTGGTTCAGTATTTCTATCATGACATGGACAATCTTCAGTTATATCCTCTCAGTATACTGTGCCACTCAAATTTTTTGATGAACTAAGTTTGCTTTCTGAATATTTTTTGTTTGTGTTTATCATTCTAGGATCTGCGAGATTTGTGGCTCAACTGCACACAATGTGGTTGGCGTGAGCGAGACTGAACCCATAGAGCAGTGGGACGAATCTAACAATTCTACAGCTCCACCTGCTGCTCCGCCACCACCTTCAGAAAGTCGGAGCTTTTGGCAAGGGCATCGTTTTCTTAAATTCCTGCTCGCGTGCTTGGTGCTTGCATTTGTTGTCTCCTGGCTCTTCCACTTCAATGTTCCTGGCTGAATACGAACTGGCATATGGCGAAAAATGAGGTTAAAACCGTCGTCTCTCTTGTCACGGGTGTTTTCGAGTTTGTTTTGAGTGAAGGAAATATTCAAGCGAAAAACCGCAATGACTAAGCCCTCCGGAAAGTGTTATATATCTATCATCTGTGTGATATGGCATGAAAACAAAGCTAAATTTTGCAACCTTGTTGGATGCATTGGCCTTTGTTGAGTCTGCTACGAGTGTTCAATTGGCATAACTTCTCTTTTTTTAATCATTCTACTATTGTTTGAAGCCACATTTCTTAGCTGAATGTTGAATGCTTGTGATGAAGCATGATGTATTCTATAATCAACCACTTACTGCAGAAAACCACGGATACTGTTCTATGTCAGAGAACCTTCATGGGTGAAGATTGTATAGACCATACGTTTGTTTGTTGCCTGTAAGATGTACATATCAAATACATGCACAGATGGCAGTACATGAACTAACTATTGGACGCACTAGATGGAAGGTGACACGCCGGGGCCCATCCACGTGGTGGGGCCAGCTGACCTATCGAAACGTGTTAGGTTGGGATTGGCCCACCCGCGAATAGAGCCCACGATCACAACGGGCCCATCATGGGCGGTGGGCAGCGTCGGGTTTCATCGTAGTTGACTCGAGTGGGTCAGATTCGAATAGGCCTCTCTGAACCCGAGTTGGATACGGGACGGGCCCACCCGCGAATGGAGCCCACGACCACAACGAACCCATCATGTGACTCGAGTGGGTCAGATTCGAATAGGACTCGCTGAACCCGAGTTGGATACGGGACGGGGGATAAGGTAACCGAGCGATCTATTGGGTTCGATAAAGGATGAGATAAAATTTAGTAATATCTTTTCGATTAATATTTAGAATATCTTTTCTATAGGTATCCATCACATGATAAATCAAAAGACTCAAATAAGAATAAATACCTCAAAAAATTGAGGCGTTTTATTACATGACTCAAACTCAAATCATTAATTTAGGTATTTATTTTTGAATGATTTCTCTAGAAAATATTTATATTTAGGATATTTTCCAATCATTATTCTCATTTTATTTTATTTTATTTTCTCAAATAGTACATCTAATTTTAAAATATTTAAATTTTTATTTATTATAATATTTTAGTATATTATAATATTTTTGTCTGTTAGTGTTTTTGTCAACACAATAAAAATATTGTAAGACTTACTTGAAAATATTATAAATAATTTAAATCAATTTTTATTCTGAATTAAATTAATTACAAATTAAAAATATAATATGACATTGATCTATGTACAATGATAATATGATTAAATTTATAGTAATTTTAATAAAGTTTACAGTATTTTTAATATCATAAACGAATCAAATGAGAACATTATAACAGTTGAAAATTAATAAAAAATGATAAATTTTTTTTAAAAATATTTTAGATATTTTAAGTTAGAAATATTTAAAAAAAACAAAAAAAAACTTTTAAAAAAATTAAAAACAAATTATTTTTTAAGAAAATCGTTCTTTATTTTTCTACTATATTCATCGAGTAGAGATACGAAAATTTAAATGGAACAGATGATTGCCATCACTCGCAAAAATCTCAGCAGCTGCTATGGAGACAGAGAGAGAGAGAGAGAGAGAGAGAGAGAGATGCGTGGGAATAGGGCTGATTTGATGTTGAATGCTGTGAGTGGATGATTACGTTTCTCTCTCTACGCCAGCTTTTCAACCTGGCCACAGTATCGTACAGTGATCAGTGGACCAGGCGGCCTCGGAATTCGCGAATCGACGGAAAACTCGGGCGATCCACCCTCCTCTCCTCCCTCCCCCCGCTCCCTCCCTCCCTCCGCTCCCGCAAGCAAGCAAAAGATATCCCTGCGCGCTTTAACTCCTGCGCTC